AAAAAACAAAAAAAAGAAAAGTAAAACATGCCAGGTGCATGTGTGTGCAGGCCCAAAATCCTGCACGGAGGGAGAGAGGGAGACTGGGTTGAAGCATGACCTTGTCCATGGGCATTACCTTCTCCTCTCTGTCTCTCTGGAATTAATTTAATTTAATTGCCCTCTGGCAATTAAAAAAAAAACATTTTTAAAAAAGTTTAATTATTAAAAAAAGAAAAAAGTTCATTTATTCGGGTCAGCAGATGGTGTAATGGTTACATGGCTGGATTCCCCCATGGTGACTGCAGTTCGAGTCCCGGACCTAGTGACTTGAAACATGCCAGGTGCCTGTGTGTCCAAAATCTGAGAAGAGAGTGGAAGAGAAAGGATTGATTGCGGTGTGGTCATTCCCCCAGGGGGGAGGGGGTGGATTTCTTATTTCTGTCTCTCTGGCACGTGTCCTACAGCAAAAATGTCTCAAAAAAAAAAAAAAAAAGGTATTTATTTACTCCATGAGCAAGAAAGACAGACAGCGAGAGAGGATCCTCTACAGAGTCCTCCCGTCCACTCCTGCCTCTGCCGGCCCAAGATCAGGGGCGTGCGGTGTGCTTGGAACGGCCCCGGATGCAACCGGAACTCCATCCCCTCCTTTAGACATGGCGGAATGCACGCATGCGCATTAAGAGACCCCGCCCCAGGGTCTGGTCATGCCATAGTCCTGCCCTCCAGATGGTAGGACCTTTGAGTCTTGCACACGTGCCCGGCATGTTTCAGGCTGACCAGGCTGGGGATTCGAACTCTGGTTGTCATGTGGGATCTGGCTTCTCGTGAGCAGACCACCGTAGCGTGGGCAGGCTGGAACTGGGAACCTCTCTGCGTGGGGGATTCCCTTTACCCCTGTGTCACTGTCTAGCCCGTAACCTGTACCTTTTGACAGGTGTTTATTTATTTTATGTATTTATTTTTAAATAATTATTTATTTATTTATTTTAATTTGATCAGAGCAAGAGCAAGAGAGAGAGAGATGGAAAATGAGACGGCAAGCTGCCAGGTCTGGGACTCGAACAGCGGTCAGTCATGTAGGGAGTCCCCAGCGCCCTTAACCACCATGCCACCTGCTGGCCCCAAGAGGTATTTATCACCAATGCTAGTGACATATGTAAGGTCATCTTTTCACACCTCTGCTTCTGGTATGTCACAAGAGGACCCCCCACCCCCACCCCCGCAGCAAGAAATAAATTCCAAAATGTATTACGTCTAATCCCAAGAGAAGTTTATTTCTCACGTGTGGAGCCCTGTGGATGGGACGGCGCGGGGACTTCCTCCATGCCGGGGACCTAGCAGGGACCCAGACTAGTGCGTGGCTTCCAAAGTCATCCTTGCAGGAGCAGGAGCTGGGGGGAAAGGCCTGGGGGTGCCGGCGGGAGGTTTGTAGGGCCCTGGACTGGGAGTGTCTGTCCACTCCTTAGTTCACTTTGCCCTGGCTAGACCTGTCACGTGACCACCCCAGTTGCAAGGGAAGCTGGGAAATGTAGTCTCATCTATGCCTAGAAGAGACTCAGCAGTGTGGGCTACTGGCACCTGTTTGACCTCACTTCCAAAAGTCGGCAGATGCCAGGCTCCTCCAGGAAGCCCTCCCTGACTTCCCAGTCCCATGACCCATTGCACTGACCATCCCCTCTTTAGGATGCGTTGGACCAGGAGGACAGGGGTCTGTCTCTTGGTGAGCCCAGCAGAGGTCTGGCCTGCAGGGAGCATTTGGCCACCCTGTTTGCAGGAAGAACCAGGCTGTAAGAACAGGGGTCCTGGGCTCCTCTGCATCCCCCTGCTGGGCCTGCACTGGGTCAGAACCTTCCTCTCCCTCACCCCTGTGTTGGCTGCTCCCCACTGTGCTCAGCTAACGGGAGGCCATGATGGCTTCTCCCTGGAGAACAGAGAGGCAGCCTCTCCCCCCAACTCTGCTCTAGCTGCTGCTGCGACCCCAGCGTGCGCTGGTGGTCCTATGTGGTTCCCGTGTCCGTGGAGACAGGAGCCTGCCTCCTGTCCCTGAGCCCGGACGGGGTGCTGGGACCCTATGGGTGTCCCACCAGCCTCCCGCATCTCCAAGTCCCCGAATTACCGTCTCCCCGGGCTCCAGGGGTGAACGGCGGCCATTGGGCTCCAGGGCCCAGACCTGAGTCTGCCATTACAACCCGGAGGCTCTTGCTGCCTCCTGTCCTCAAGTGTGGACACCGCTGTGTGGGGACACCTCCCCGAGATGGAAGTCCTCCTTTGGTGCCTCTGGAGAGCCCTCGCCTGGCTCCGGGAACCCCCGCCCTGCACAGGCTCAGCGGCATCTCAGTCTCGCAGGTCCCTGGGAAAACCCGTCATGGTCCCCCGTCAGGTGGTGGGGCTTCCCAGCCTGGCCTGCCCCTGGCACTGGGAGCGTCTGATGTTTGAGCCCAGGGGCCAGGGTCACAGACAGGGCACCCCTTTTCCTGCTGGTTGAGGGAGGCGTGGGTGCAGCTGTAGGACCTGCCCAGGGAGGGGAGCGGGTGGGAGGCCATGTTTGCAGGGCCCAGGTCTGGCAGGGGGGAGCTCCTCTGTTCAAGGGGCATTGAGAACCCAACTTCTCTCGACCCCGGTTCCTGGGGCTGCCTTGGGAAACCAGAGCTGTGAGGCTGCCCCTGCCTGCCTAGGCCCCGCCCTGTGCCTGCTCCCACAGGCCTGGCTGCCTTGGAAGCTGAGCTCCGATTTACCCAGAAGGGGCCAGCCCTGCTCTGGCTCAGCACAGGAACACATTGGGGACTCAGGTGGTGGGCGGCGAGCCCCGCCTTGCCTCCTCTGCAGAGAGGAAAGTACCTGCCCAGTGGCCAAGAGGCCGGCCACAGCTCTACCCTGCCTGGGGAAGAGCCGGGATAAAGGCAGGGTGGGTCTGGGAGGGCAGGGAGCACCTTCTCCATCCACCATCCCCAAGCCTTCCAACCTTTCTCAGGTCTTTTCTCTATACATGCCGCATGGGGCACAATCACCTCCTCCAGGAAGCCCTCCAGATGGCTAAGCCCTAACACCCAGCTCTTCTGTTTCTGGCCCAGACCCTTCAGCAAGGGTAAGGCAGAGCAGGTGGAAGACTTAAGTGACTTCTGCATTCTCGCCTGCAGGCCTGAGACTGGGGGTGACTGCGCCGCCCTCCCCGGGGAGGAAATGCTGAATCCCGGCCTTGGCTTGGACGGGTCCTGGCCGCCCAGCTGCAGGGTAGGGCTCACGGCCTCCCTGGCCTCCTCCGAGGCGCGCGCATCTTCCATCCACCTTAACCTCCTCCAGCTGTTCTACCCTCTGCTTCCCCCTTGTGGCCACTCCCAGCATAGCAGGCCGCACTGAGGCTGGCTCTCTCTGTAGGCATGGGGGACCCCTTTTGGACAGGACGACTGCCTGGCCTAGGGGGCGCCAACCTCCGGCTCCATATGAGGTCTAAGAGATAAATCTGCCCCCCATCCTGCACTGCCTAAGGCCTCCCATAGCTGCCACCCACGACCTGCTCTGCAAAGGAGGACTTGGGGCCTGGCAGGTCCCCCAGCGCCCCAGTCTGTGCTTCTGTGGCGTCCCCTCCCCTCCAAGCCCCGCCCCAGAAGACGCGTAGGGAAGAGGTTGAGCAGGTGGGCAGCGGTGGTGGGAGGCCTGCTGTGTCCAGCGCAGGACATTCCCGGGCTTTGGAGCATAAGCTCTGGTCACCCATTCACGGCCCTACCTGTGAATGCCCAGCCAAGGGACGTCCCTTGCAGGGCTGGGGACCAGGCCAGGCTGTGCCAGCTTGCTAATGAGACAGGCGGCTCTTCTCAGGGGACACCAGAGAGGGTGAAGGCACAGACCCCAGGTGGCACCCCATTCTGGGTCCTCTGCAAACATCATCCTGCACCCCGTCTTTGGAACTGAGCATTGCATGGGCACCAGGACACCGAGCGAGGAACATGGGGCTTGTTTTCTCCTCATCCAGGCAGGGAAGGCTGCTCCCAGGAATGGTCTAGAAGCGTTGCAGTTACAAGCCTGGACGGCAGGGGGCAGTCTCCCCCCAACCGAGGGACTCGCTCTCCTGGGGTCCTGGGCCGCCCACCTAGGGTTTCAGGCCGAGCCTGGGGCCAGGGACGAAGGCAGCTCGGTGCTGGGCCCCCCATGGTGGGGCAGCGGGTCTCAGGATGCCAGGGTCAGGGTCACCACTGCCAGGCTGTGGGGAGTGAGGTATTGGAATCCGAGTCGGAGTCCGGGGTAGGAAGTCTCAGGTCTGGGGAACGGGAGCCGGGAGTATTCGGGGAACAGAGCAGAGAGTGGCGATGGCGAGGACCCCTCGGGTCTGAGATGACAGAGGAGGACACCAGGTCTCAGGTCCAGATGACAGGTGTCCAGTCCTAGGGATCGGGCAATCCCAGGATTGGGGCGCATCATCCCAGGAGTTCAGGCTTTCTCAGCCCTGACGTGGCCACATGCGTCCCACGCTGCAGGCCATGCAGTCCCCTCTCACGGCTGTGAGCTCCAGACGTGCCTGCAAGAGAGTCCCGGTTTGGAGCCAGCAGGGGGTCCTGCCCCTTCCCCAGGGTCCAGGGAGTGGTGTGGGCGGGGCCCTGGCGGGCGGGGCGGGGCCCTCGGCGGTGTGTGGGCGGGGCCCCGGTAGGTGGGGCGTGGCCATCAGCGGTGTGTGTTTTTTTGCGGGCGGGGCGGGGCCTCACATGTTGCCCTTCCTCCTGCGCAGCAGCACGTAGAGGAGGGAGACCGCAGCCACCACTGCCAGGCCTCCAAAGATGATGCTCAGCAACACGGCGTAGCTCCGTCCTGGGGAGGGGACAGGGTGGTGAGGGTGGTCCGGGGTTGGCTGGCACATGGACGTGCGAATGCGGGTAAGCGGCAGCTGTGCGCGGGGCCGCCTCACCTGGCTGGCACTCGGGGGTGGGCGCAGACCAGGTGCCGTCACCTTGGCAGGTGCTGGTCTCTGCCCCGGCTAGATGGTAGCCATTGTCGCAGTGGAAGTGCACGGTGGAGCCCGCCAGGTACCTGATGCCTTCCTTCCAGCCGTTCGGAGGGGGGGCCAGCCAGCCACAGGACACCACTGGGGTGGGGGGGACGCAGATGACAGCCTGAGCCGCCGGACACCGACCGGACACCAACTGCGGCCTGTGGCCTGCCGGCAGGGGCAGAGTCCTCCCCCGCACCCCGCCCTCCCTCACCATGCTGCAGGCTCTGCGTGCGCTGCTGGTGCAGTTGGTGGGCAGCCCGCGTGGCATTGCCCACGCTCACGCTTCCAGTGGCTATCACGTCGAAGCTGCAGAACGGGTCGTCCCCGCACAGCGCTGCCACCGCTTGGGCCTGGCTGGGGCTGAGAGCCGTCTCATCCGGGAAGAGGGGCTTGAAGTTGGGGTCGTGCTTGGGCCGGTACAGGAAGTCGTGGACCAAGAACCAGGAGTCGTAGGTGAGCAGGGAGGAGGAGTTGTGCACGACCCCTGCGGGGACACGCGGCAGGCCTGGCTGGGCACGGGCCTCCCCATGGTGGCCGCCACCCGGGGTCTCCCTGTGCCATGCTCCCCCACCCACGTCTACTGTATGAGTCACTCACAGTCGGCCCCAAACTGGAACAGCTCCTGGGCACTGGTGCTGGGGGGCAGGACAAGGCCAGTGCGCAGGGTGAAGTCGTCCGTGGGGTCGTCGTTGAGGGTCCCCAGGAGGCCCTGGGTGTGGGTGAGGAACTTCTCGGGCAGCAGGACGGTCACGCTTAGGAACGGGCCCTGGACGCTGACCTCCAGGCCAGACGGTCACGCTTAGGAACGGGCCCTGGACGCAGACCTCCAGGCCGGCCCCTGAGGCCAGCATGACCGATACCCTGTCCTTGGCAGCCACGGACAGGAACATGCCTGGGCACAGAGGGTGGTGGGGCAGGTCACCCCGTGGGCACCGTACTCGCGCCCTGGAGTTCCAGGGTGTGATGGGCAGCACCGTGGACTGCGGGGTGGGACAGCTGCAGGGGAGGGAGAGGCCCCCAGGCCAACCTGCCGACTCTGGCTCTGCCAGCCCCAGCCCACGCCTGGCCAGGACCTGCCCCCCTGCCCCCCGCAAGGTGCCCGAGGGGCCTAGTCCCTGCAGGGGGGCTGTTGGGGACTTCCTGCCCAGACGGCACAGCAGCGGTGCCGCCACTGTCCTTTCCGAGGTCCTCGTCCCTCAGCACGAACAGCCAGCCCCGCAGCTGGGAAGCGCTTCCTTCTGCACCCTGAGCAGCACAGACCACGAACACAGGGTTCCAGCATCGCGGCCTCAGGGCTCCTCGGGGCCGAAGGGAGGCCACGTTCTGCAGTCCTGGCCAGGCCCCGTGGGGATGACATGGCGTCTCCGTGGGGGTGAAGGTGTGGACCTCAAGACCGCCATGGGCGGGAGTGTGCTGCACGGGGCTCCTCTCTGAGCCCCGAGGAGCCTCCGTCTCTGCCTCTGAGCCTGGGTACCACCCCGGCCTCCAACCAGGACTGAGGAGAGGTGCGAAGGCCGCGGCCACTCCCCAGCCCCTGGTGGGCTGGAAGGAGGCCAGGGCAGCCTGCCAACGGGCCTGGCGGCCCCACTCACCCTTCAGGTCCATCCAGCTCTGCTCGCCGAAGCTCTGCACCTCCTGATTCAGCAGCACCTCCAGGGCCCCGGCCCCTGCGGCCAGCCGGACCTCCACGACGTCCGAGTTGTCCTCCTGGACGGCCACCGCCGTCAGTCCCGTGCCGCGGGTCTGTGTGCCTGGGGTGGTGGGTGCAGAGCAGGGTCCGCCTGGTTATGGCCTCCTACCCGGGATGACCCGGCGCCACCCTGAGCCCCCGGGGCCTGGCCTTACCATTGGACATGGTCCCGGGCTGGGCGCGCGCCTGCACCTTCAGGTCGGTCAGCGCTGACTCCAGCAACACGTACTCGCCACGCCCGTTGAACGTGAACTTGGTGCCATCGAAGGTGACAAAGTGTGGGTCCCCGAAGACAGAGGCTGGGGTGAACACAGAGCGTCAGGCAGGGCCCGTCCCTGGCCTGCCCGGTCCTCTCCAGGTGGCCCCCAGGCTGGTACGCACCTAGGCGTGGGGGCCGGTAGCT